CCGGGCCCCGCGACCGCCTGTGGGTCCTGCGGGGGCTCGCTGGGCCGCCGCACCCGCCACTGAACGCTTATTGGACTTTGCGCTCCACTCGCCCGCGCGCAAAACGAGAAGTTCCCCTTGCTTCCTCTGCGCGGCGCTCAAAGCCTATTGGATTGGATTTGACCGCGCTTTCCCACCTGTAAGGTAGGCTGGTGTGCTGAGCCGTTGCTCAGGCCTTGGCAGTTCATTGTAAAGATTACGTCTACTCCGGAACTCTTGGCGCTGCAGTGACAAATGATGCCCCCTTACCCCTGGCCTCCAGCTTCTAGTCCCGAGTCCTCTTCCCCAGTCCCCTCTTCCCAATCCCCAATTCTGAGCAGCCTGGCCATGGGAATCTTAGGTATTCTGCTCCTGAAAACCCTCCCCTCCAAAACCCCCTCAGCACTTTCTATGAAACTCTTACGCATTCATCTCTTTGCACTGAATTAACGGGACAGTGGAGGGGTGGGGGGTGATAGTTTGGAATTTTAAAAATAGGGCAGAGGTGGCTCAGTCGGTTAAGCGTGGAACTTCGGCTCAGGTCATGATCTCACCGCTGGTCGCTTCATGCCTCGCCTCTGGCTCTGTGTTGACAGATCAGGGCCTAGAGCCTGCTTAGAATTGTGTCTCCCTCGCTCTCTGCCCCTCCCCCACTTGCACGCGCTCTCCTTCTGTCTCTTTCTCAAAAATAAACATTAAAAAAAAAAAATTTGTTTTAATAGGTCAGAAAAGACTTGAACGTGGCCACAAGAGGCCAGTGAAGGGCAGGGGACCACCAGCACAGGAATGGGCCTTGTGTAAAAGGCCCATGCTGACCCAAGGGAGGGCCTGGGTGAGGGGTGCTGGATATGGTTAAGGAGATAAAAAGCCAAGGCCTTTCCCTAGGAGGGATGGGAAGGGTGCAGCCTGGCACAACCCCAGGTCACTGGAACTCTCCCGCACATGTGGGGACACAGCCAAGGCCCCTCCTGTCAGAAGTCTGAGGTCTGGAGTCTAGAGCGGGAGACCAAGGTTAGCAGAGCTGAGTGAACAGAGGATAGGCAAGGGGGTTTCTACCACAGGGTCCAGCACAGCACCTGTAAGGATTAGGCACCCAATAAACATGAGTTTTCTCGTCCCTTCCTTAACTACTTGAAGCCAATTTATAAACATGCAGCAGAAGCCAAAAGAGAAAAAAACAAAAAAACAAAACACCCCAAAATGAAGAAACACCACACTGATACTTAAAAGTACAAATAAAGACGTACAAATAAATGTATACTATATTTAAATAGCAGTAACACTTCTCATTCTTAGTTCATCTTCTCAGCACAATGTGCAGCAGCAGGTAGGAAGATCTCTCCAAGGTTGCTCCAAAGCCCATGGGAATGAATGTTCCGGTAGACCTGGGGCTCTGCTGATGGGGGCCGGGCCACGTGGGGACAATGGTGGCACCAGGCCCGGTCACCTCTGTACCACTCATTAGTGGTCTGGTTGGTGGCAGCCAGGTACAAAGTGAAGCACAGGTAGCCCCCCAGGAGGAAGCTCAGCATCACAACAAAACCCAGCATGAAGACGATCCTTGGCAAGGTCAGGAACAGGTACTGGGGGCAGAGAAGGAACAGCACGTTAGGCAGCCACGCTGTGACACAAGTAAGGGCCAGCACCCACCAGCCCTGGCCTCGTCTGCAGACACGTGACAGCTGCCGCCCCAGCTCACCCACCTGTACACACACCTGACCCACTGAACACAAAACAGAACCATAAATGGCTCTGACAAACAGCCCCAGAAGCAGTCCTAGCATGCAGGAGTTTACTATGGGATAAATGGAATGTGCACACCGAAGGAAAAGGAAAAGGATACTAGGAGATGTGACTACGCCAGTCAGCTACTTGTAAAACAAAGAAATAAATACACATCTTCTTTCATGCATCACAATATAAATCCAGACGGACACAGGAGACCAATCTCTCTCTCAACACAATGTGGCCAAAGAAACACACGTACGAGAGTATTCACTGTAGTGATTTTCACAGCCCCTCTTCCGAAAAGAGGAAGTCCAGTCGTGAGAAAGAGTAAAATCTTGGGGTAATGATACTATGGTATAATAAGGAGCCGGTACAAACGAGGCCAATTTTTACATACTGATTCGGAAAAGACATTGGCAAAATATTGCCGGATAAGAAAGACAAGAGGCAAGGATCCACATGGGATCATATTCTTATAAGAAACAAAAACACACTCCATGAAGGTGGGTAATATCGACAACCACAGGAAAAAAGCCTGAATGTACACACCAAACTACAAAAGAGGTGGCCTCTAGGCAGTGAGCTGTTGGGAAGGGCAGGGTATAACCCCCAGTTTTCATTTTTTTTTAAAGATGCTTTAAATTTCATGTGTTTCCCCCCAGCTTTATTGAGACAGAATTGACATGACATTGTGAAAGTTTAAGGTACACAACGTCACGTATAGCAAATGATCACAACAAGGTTAGTCGTTTCAACTACAAGTTTGTGCCTTTGAGCCCTTTCCCCCTCTTCTCCCCCTTTTCATTTTAAGCACTTCTGGACTGCTTGAATTTTGAGAAGTTATTTTTTAGAATAAAGAAAATGAATTCTGACAGTGTTCAGTATCTTTGAAAGGCAAGAGTAAGAGAGGCAGGCGCATCAAAACTCTTCACAGGAGGGACCTTCTAACTGAAGTCACAAAGAAAAGAGATTCGATGACAAAGGATGTCTAAATTTTTTTTATAGGATTTTTTTTATACAGAAGAGGATACACAACAGAAAACAAATACAAGAATGAACTGTCATTATTATATGATCTCAAATCTAAAGTAATTCTAGTATAATAAAGGACATAATTCACAAAAAAAGATATACAAATGACTGCCAAACAAGGAAAGTAATCAAAAGTAATAAAGAAATATAATTCTTTAAAAGGGTACAACATGTATTCCTACTAACATAGAAGCACCTGCCACCACTGGGCATCCTCAATGTCCACCCTGACACAACAAAGTGAATACCTGCCAATCACTCTAAGCACAAGGTTTTATTTTATTAATGTTATTTATTTTGACAGAGAGAGCGAGAGAGAGAGAGAGAGAGCAGATGGAAGAAGGGGAGAGAGAGACAGGGAGAGACAGAATCCCAGGCAGGCTCTGTGCTAGAAGCACAGAGCCCGACGCGGGGCTCGATCTCACAAACCACGAGATCATGACCTAAGACAAAACCAAGAGTTGGACACTCAACCAATAAGCCACCCAGGCGCCCCTAAGCACAAAGGTTTTGTTTTTTTTTTTAATTAAAAACATATATATATATTTTAATATTTATTTTTGAGAGAGACAGACAGAAAGAGAGAGAGACAGAATGTGAGCAGGGGAGGGGCATTGAGAGAGGGAGACACAGAATCCGAAGCAGGCTCCAGCCTCTGAGCTGCCAGCACAGAGCCCAACGTGGGGCTCAAACCCACAAACCGCGAGGTCATGACCTGAGCCGAAGTCAGATGCTTAACTGACTGAGCCACCCGGGAGCCCCACCTAACCACAGTGTTTTAAAAAACAATTTGACGATATATATTAAAATCAAAAGATTTATTTATAAATGTTAATAATCTTTGACTCAGGGCCACCTGGGTGACTCAGTCAGTTAAGCGTCTGACTTCGGTTCAGGTCATGACCTTGCGGTTTGTGGGTTTGAGCCCCACGTCGGGCTCTGTGCTGACAGCTCAGGGGCTGGAGCCTGTTTCGGATTCTGTGTCTCCCTCTCTCTCTCTCTCCCCCCTCCTCCCCCGCTCATGCTCTGTCTCTCTCTTTCAAAAATAAGTAAATGTTAAAAAATAATAATAATAATCTTTGACTCAGTACATATACTTTTTGGAAGCTATCCTACAGAAAGTCCTAAATACAAAAACAAAACCACATACACTGATTACCTACCATAAAGGGGAAAATGTACTTCACCAATGGAGAGAGCTGGTGGGCACCACCTTAAGCAACAGATCAAGCTAAGTGTCACTGACCCTGTGTTCCACCTGATGGGATGCAACATGAAATACATACTTCTACCTAGAAAGCATTTTTGCCAAAAACATTTAACCTGAATCTGATCAGGTCTCTAGAACTAACTTCCAGTTCACATTAATATTAAGGAACAGAGAAAAATTAGTTGACACAAGTAGGAAAAAGACAAATTTAGACCAACGGACATTCTAAAAGACTACTAAACTACTAAATGTCAACTTCATGAAAAAAAGGAGAGGCATTATTTTAGACTATGAGACTAAAAAGATATGACATTCAAATGCAATGTGTTAACTACAAGGTGGATTCGGCTTCAAGGAGGCAAAAGAGGTTTATAAAAGACATATTTGAAACAATGGGGAAATTTAAATATGGACTAGATTATATATTACATATTTACTATATATTCTATATTTATTACATATATTTATTATTACTTTTCCTTGGTGAGATAACAGAATTGTAGTTATGTTGGAGGTTGACATTCTATAAAAATGCATGTTCCAGGGGCATCTAGGCGGCTCAGTCAGTTGAGTGTCTCTTGATTTCAGCTCAGGTTACGATCCCAGGGTCGTGGGATCAAGTTCTGCACTGAGTGTGCAGCCTGCTTAGAATTCTTTCTCTGTCTGTCTCTCTCTCCCCTGCTCCTGCTCTCTAAAATTAAAAAAAAAAAAAAAAAAAAAAAAAAAAAAAAGAAAAGAAAAATTAAAAAGAATAAAGAAAATTTTTTAAATGCGTGTTCAAGTACTTAGGGGTGAAGCAACATAGTGTCTCCAGTTTATGTCTAATAATACAGAAAAATACAAGGGGCACCCAGGTGGCTCAGTCAGTTGGGCGATGACTTTGACCCTGGTCATGATCTTGCAGTTCATGGGTTCGAGCCCTGCATCGGGCTCTGGGCTGACAGCTCAGAGACTGGAGCCTGCTTTGGATTCTCTGTCTCCCTCTCTCTCTGCCTATCCCCCCCTCACACTCTGTCCTCTCTCTCTCTCTCAAAATAAATAAACAAACATTAAAAATTGTTAAAAAAGAAAGAAAGAAAAATACACAAAGAACAGATTAAAATGTTAATTTTTAAATCTAGGTGGAAAGTATACAGGTAACTTTTCAGTATGTTTGGACACTTACATAAATGAAAAAAACTGAAACAAAAACTACTCAAGGATAAAACAACAAATCACTACACACCTATCAGAATGGCTAAAATGAAACACAGTGATAACATGAAATGCTGGAAAGAATGCAGAGAAACCAGTCATTCCTCCATCACTGGTGAGAATGTAAAACGGTATATTTTACTCTGGTATATTACTCTGGAAAAGAGTATGGTGGTCCTTTTCAAAACCTAAAATGGACTTATCAACCCGACAATCACAGTGAAGAGGTATCATGCAGGAACTTGTAAATGGGAATGTTCAACACAACGTTATTAGTTAATAGCTAAAACCCAGAAACTACAGAGATGTCCTTCAAAGGCTAAATGGTTAAGCAAAGCGTGGTCCACCCATACTGTGGAATACTATACAGCAGCAAAAAGGAAGGAACCCTAAATACATGCAACCATTTGCATGGATCTCAAGGAAACTGCACTGAGTGAAGAAACCAATCTCTAAAAGATTGGATGTGATTCCATTTATGTAGCAATCATGAAATAACATACTAATAGAGATGGAGAACAGAGTAGCAGTGGCAGGTATGCAGGATGAGGCTGTGGCTATAAGGAGTAACACGAGGGAGTCTGTGGTGATGGACACAACATGCGGACTATAGTGGTGGTTATGCAGGCACACACATGCGACAGATTACACAGATCCACACAGACACACACACAGACACAGACACACACACACACACACACAC